CATGATTTTGTCCTGCCTTGTGAAATATGTAGGGTAACATTCTAAGTCTAGATATTCCCTTTATTGAAATATTGTCATTATCGTGAACAAAAACATGGAATTTCTATTATCAGCAAGTATAAATGCAGAAAGAATGACAAGGTCAATCATAATAACCACAGACTATTATTTAATAATTTCTTGGACGTTCTACGAAATACCATAAAAAGTAATTTCACCAATATAAGACCACTTGATATCGTCGCCTAAGGCGTACGTCAATTTCAATTAAGCGAAAGTAAACGTTCCTAGCGAGTGTTTAATTAGAAACACGCAATATAATACTCGCGATCTCGCGATAACAAGGTATGCCTCAAACAATTTATTCTGTCTTTTAATGGTGCCGTTAATATGTCTTTTTGTGTTGTTGTCAATTAAGTTTCAAAAGGTCGGTGTTAAGATTGAATGGTTTCATCATGCGTCAATGGCATTCTATTTTCGGATAACAATTATCGATGGTGAACACGTGTATGGAAATTGGATTAGGGTAGCGCAACCTTTTTTGTTCGAGTTAATAAGAATAGAAATAAATTCAGAGACTATTTCTTTTCCTAAGTTGCTGCAATTTTGCGTCTTGTAGGGGACACAATATTATACTTTTATATATATAAAGGCTGTCGCCATGGTCTTGTATTAAACATAAAAACCTTCCTTTTGAATCACCCTATCTATGAAAAAAACCGCATCAAAATCCGTTGCGTAGTTTTAAAGATTTAAGTATACATAGGGACAGATAGCGACGTTTTTATACTATGTAGTGATGAAATCAGCTGCTCCCTGCGAAGACATAACACATTTTGTATCCAGCTCCTTCCAATTTGACAAATGCAATCAAAAACTGTTCGATGGAATAAACGGAAAATAAAAGTCATCAGTGAACCATAAGCACTATTGTGTTCTCATAATAGCAACTACGGTTTCCTATAATTACCAGTGAGTAGAAGAATCCGACTTCTGATATAACCGATTGTCCTTACCGGGCTCGGCAACTTTGGTTCTTAAGATGGTACGTCGCCTCATAACGAAAATAAATAAGGAAAAGTTTCTATATTGCAGTGACAGGTTGATCTTGATTTAGTATTAAGTGTATCGGAATAGGACTTAAGTGTTGGTGAGTGAGACTGCGAGACTGTAGTAAAATATATAGATCGCGTTTCAAATGACTTAACAAAGTGCAAACCAGCCTTTAGTAATATTTTTCGTGTCGGTAACAAAAAGTATCCAACTATGAGCAACGCCTAAGCGACGGTTCGAAGCGACAATTACAATAATTTACTACAATGACGGCTCAACGTAGTATAATCACGCTATAATGTACTCATTACAATTCAGTTGGCTCTCATTACTAATAAAGCAGTAGAAGGCTTCACCAAGGCGTTTTGTAAACAAGCAACAGGTGATCGACGAAGGAATACAGTGCTTGTATTAAAGAGAAGGTTATAATATCTTTTGCGTTTGCTTTCTTCAGCCAACAGAAATATTACTCTCGCTTTTTTATTATTAATTTAATAAATAGATGAAAATGTATACTTTCTATTTATCTTAAGCTTGACGGATGATTTTTGGAATTAGCACTCTTCGTACGACAGTGATAATGTGCACCGTTTTAAACAGACTTCAAAAAAGGAGGTTTGACTTGTATGTATATTTGTGCGCGATTATCTCGCGTTTAGCTAAACCTATTTTGATGCGGTTTTCCGCATAGTATTTGTCAGACTTAGAAGGTTTTAGGTATATTAACATATTAAATAATGGAGGTTCGCACTTTAGCTTGTGTTGTATGTTATTTGACGCTATTACCCAAAACAATTATTTATAGATATTATTTTTTGTGTACGTGCCATGATCGGAAATATAAAAAATAACTAGCTTTCCGCCAGCGGCTTCGCCCGCGTGGTTCTAGAGAACTGTTAAGTGGAATAAAAAGTAGCCTATATGTTCAATCCAGGCTTAGATTTTAATTCATATCATGACACGGATATAATTAAAATTACAAATTAAATGGTAAACATTGGTACCTAACGTTTTATTCCCTATAGAAACTCCAGTCCTAAATTCATCCCTTTATTTACTATTTTTCGGGATAAAATATAAGCCTTTTTCCACCACACTTGATGAAGATTTCCGTATGTGAAAGAATTTTTAAAATCGGTCTAGTAGTTTCGGAGCCTGTTCATTGCAAACAAACAAACATACTTACAAGCAATAAAATCTCTTTATAATATTATATTTACAATTTTTTTTCGGTTTTTCATCAACATAGTGGAATACTCTTTGGTTGAATTTTAGTTGATTCTTTTGAATGTCTCTTTGACATTGACATTTTGACATTGTAGATATATCTAATTTGACGTATGATGTGCTCCGTTTTGAAGCAAAAAGCGTTAGCTTTAAGGAAGAATTAAATTGAATTTATAATGTCTTATAAAGAATATTTTTTAGGCAATTGTTGCAATTGGTGGTATAAAAAAGTTCCAAGTAAGTTTCTGAAGAATTATGATAAAGATAAAGGTATCGTCCTGTACCTAGACACGATTTGTTATATATCGGCCGTTAATAAGTTTCGAGTCTCAAATCACCAAGAATTCGCTCTTTCTGGACTGAACAAGTATTAAGGATGTTTGTTTTACTTTAACTAGACAGCAATAACAACCTTAACTACTTAAATTCTAGTTTCTAGGTAATAAGAATCTGTTATTAAATACTGAATCTGTATAACTAGAATTGAGAATTGTTTTTATAGCTGAAGTGAGTGCTTTGACTATAAATATTTTTACTATCTAGATGTGATATCATTAAATTTAGTTGTGATCAAATGTATCATATTTATATTTTTTATGACGTTAGTTAATATGGGTATGGACATTCATGATTTTATTATTTAAAACTATTATGTTTAATTGTAATTTTTCAATTTGATTATGAGATTATTAGTTTAAATTCAATTTAATTACTGTTGGCTCCTGACAATTTTATTTTATGCCAAAACGAGGTGAATGTATTCTGTGCTAGTAATAAAATTATGATCCTACTTTCACATCACTTTCTTGCAAATAAATGATTCTTATTCCTATACACTTTTAGGGGCTTCGAGTGCTCATAAACCAACTACACTCACAGGCACAATTAACCGGGCACAATTAACCGTCAACCTGTATCATTCATCACCCTGTTTGGTTCCGCCAACCATGGCTTATCAACTGTTTTGTTTTTTGTTAATTGAGTTCTCTAGCAATAAATAAAACACTTACACCATTATTTTCTTTCCTAAATTTGTGTCACCGAAGGGTTTTCGGAATTTAGTCGTTAGGTATTTTAAATTGTTGCTGTTCTATAGTGGGCGAATATCGTTTAATTTGAAATTATAGTGTGTCGTAACTAACCTTACGTAACGTTTTCTGTCCTTAGATGCATTGCACTAATTTTGCTCATATCGATAAACATTTTAGTGTTTTCCATTTATATTCTTTACTTATTCCATTCTATAACTGTGGACCTTCAATTTTAAACCTGTAACCATTAAAATTCTGTAATATTCTTCATCGCTGACCCACGCCCCTTCTCTAGATCACCTACACTGACTCTCTCAAATTCACTACCTCACTACTCACCTCGTCCCTTTTCTTTTTTTTTAATTATTGTAAGTAAATTATTTTATTAGCTGATGCGGGATATAGCCAGCGTCGCATCGCTCGTACATTCTGTGTACCTGGAACCAAGGTACGAGAAGCCATCAGACGATTTCGGAAGACAGATTAAACACCCGCAGGCCAGGTCAAGGCGATATCGATACACTTCGATTCGAGATAACCTTTTCGTTGTCTCAAATATGTTGAGAAATCTGTTTTCGACCGCTACTGAAGTTCGTACGCGTCTTTTTGAGGTGAGAAATGTTAAGTATCAGTGAACGGGCCATTAGAAGAAGATTAGCAGAATGTAAATTGAGGGCTTTTCGTCCAGCCCGCGCACCGCAACTGTTCCCAGAACAACGTAGAGCTAGACTTGGTCTTGCGCGAAAATATGTTGACTGTAGAGGAATGGAAGAACATACTGTTTTTAGATGGGAGCAGAATACCCTTCATAGATCCAGATGGAGATCAGCGTATCTACAGGCGTTAATATGAGGGATTTGCTCCATAGTTAAAACAGTAGGTTACCAGGAAGGGTCCATAATGGTTTGGAGTACCTCCCCATACAGCGTCTCATATGTGGCTCGTATTGATCTTGTTGAGTTCGATAGAGGAAGTGTAAACGCTCAAAGATACATGGAAGAAGTTTTTGAAGAGCATGCCATACTTTTGCTCCGTTCATAGATGACAACTCTAGATTGATGTATGAAAACGCACGTTGCCATTTCAAGATCCGTCAGTGAGTACCTTTATGAAGTCAGGATTCAAGTTTTACCATGCCGCACGCAGTCTCGATCTTAATCCAATAGAGCACATTTGGGACAATCTTAAAAGACGTGCCTGAGCAAGAGTACCAGTCCCTACGACTATAGGATAGCTAAAAACGGCTGCAGTAGAGGAGTGGCACAATATCCTCTAATCGGATATTCAAGACATCATGGATAGATTGACAAACCAGCTCCAAGAAGTCATAGGGTCAGCGGTGGCCCCATTATTTTCAATACCAAAATTCTAAAATTTTCATTGAAGATTTTCAAAAAATCGTTATTTTTTGTTAAGCGTCCTTTAATAAAAGATTTTTTCCAATATTTATCTTGTTTCTTTTTATATAAGTATAGTCTAAGTATGGCGAATTTTGCGAATTGAAAGAAATTTGACAATTTGATTACATTCTTACGGGCTACTGACCAGTAGGGATACAGAACTGAAATTTGAACATATTTAGTTTTTTTGTTTGCAATTGAGAGCTAAAAAACTGTGAGTCATCTTAGGCGCGACTACTTTATAAGTACATTTTGAATGTAAAATTAAAAGTGCTTTCTTTTGTTTCAGGCCTACAGTTGCGGAGCATAGAGGAGCCGGCAGGCGGCGCGGGCGCCGGAATGCCCGCGTCCGCCTGCTACGACGCCGAGTGCGCGCGCACCGAGGCCTGGCTCGACGAAAATCAAGAGTTTGTGCACGATTATTTCCTAAGGTACTAATGGCCTGGCCAAAACTTTCTTCTTCGTAAAATCACCAGTGTATTACGTAGCTTCCAGTAGGTGAACGATTTTTTTTAATCCGTCCAGTATTGTCGGAGATTATTATATGCTAACAATAAATTAAATCTTGCCTCATTATAATATTAGTACAGATAAACAACGAAATAAAATACCTTGTTACAATTTCTAGATTTTATTCTTATATGAATTTTAAAATATTAAGAGATTTGTGGTATTAACAATATTTTTTTTCTGTTATCCAATGTTAATAAAATCTCCGAGAAAAACATTTCTGGTCAATGTAGATTCTGCTGAAGGGCAAAATGGAAGCTGCCCAATATAATATCTGATGAATAAAAGGTCCATAAAAAATGATACGACGAAACTAAGATCTGACGAAACTCTCGAGAGTCAAAAAATTCGCTTCTAAAATATACAAAATCAACCAAAGATATACCTTATATTCATAAGAAACCGTGATGATGCTTTCTGTGGTATTTATTATACGGTGTTTGTTTACTTTACAAAGCTGTAGTTAATTTTAAAGTCAATTAAGTATCGGTAGTAGTTGTACGGCGACTTCTGAACAAAGCATCTTTAATGTCTCTGTGTTCGCTCGCAGTGTCTGTTCTCCATCGAATGCAAACAACTTTAGATTGCATCACGACAACCATTAAACCGGTTTAATTTGCATTTGCGTTTCCAAATTTGCAATTCATTATTATTGTTCTGATGGTGCATGTTCTTGCTTCTGATCGATTACTCTGTTTTTACAAATACAGTACCGTCTAATAAAAAATCTATTCTGGGATCTTCAAGAAACACTAGCTTCTTCGCCTCTCTGATATTAATTATACTAATAACATGACACGTATTGTAAATGAAATAACATCATAAAGTTATGTTTTTGTCGAAATCATCTTTCCGTTAGCAGAAACGAGTATTATTACAGATATTATAACATTATATCTACAAGTAATAATGGATACATCATGCTTCGTTATTGTTTTAAACAGTGTTTGATTTTTGTTTCACAATTTATACTTTTTCCGGCTGTTATTGTAATAACAAGGTACTGTCTGCTGATATTGCTTACTAATTTGACGTTTGAATTGCTAACTAACTACAATGAGACTGGTAGAAATATATATATAATATATTTCAGTTAGATATTTTGCTTTCCAGTACTCGAAAACGGTGTACTTTATTAGGTCAGTACCTAGACAGTACTTAAGTTACCTACCAAAGTTATTACTTTAAAAGGGAAATTGATCGGAAACCATTGGTTTCCGGTAAAACTACCCACTTTATTACGTTAATTGCGGACGAACAGTATTGTGTGGGTGTTTGATTTGTATGTCGTTTCGGTATAGCTTTATAATCTGAACATAAGGTAACCGAGACTGATGAAAGCGAACACGATTTTTAACGTTAAACAATTCCATAAATCGCTATCACAAGCACTATACCTTTGAAAGGAATCGCGATAAATTTGAGCGACTCGGATATAAGTTTTTTATAGAACATTTATTAAGGCCGACAAAACGAAAAAGGGACCTTAGTGTAGGTGTATCTTTTACTCACACCCCTCAAATGTCTCACGGAAGTACCTGAAGTCAAATATTATTAATGTAGGTATAATATAATAGTAGTAGTAGTAATAGTAGATAGAATATATTTAGTGTAGGTATATCGGTCACCATTGATGTGCGAAGAAAACTTTGCACTTATAATATCGTACTTTAGGTAGATAGTATATAGAATATGATAGGATATGTATGACGAGTGTGTATGTGTACGAGTGTCAATGTTATGTTGATTTTAAAATTATAAATAATAGTCCCAGTCCAGCTGTGTTAAGAGCATACAATTGGTTTAATTCAGGAAAACCTGTAATTAGCTTTACTCTTTAAGTTTTAACTCTTCTAATTTTGTAAAAGCCGTTGGCTTTCTAACATTCAAATAAATATAATAAAGTTACTTAAAAAACCCGAAGAAATGGTTTTTTTTTGTTTACCCTTTATTAAATCAAGTTCTCAAACTTAGTCAACCTTTTATTCATTTGCCTAAGCATCGAACCCGTCACAACGTACACATTAGCAGAATTGGCATGGAAGCCGAACGTTCTGTCATAATTAATTGTCATTTATGACGTTTTGCGGTCGACGAGACGCAACCCATTTTTCGTCAGATATACACCGGCACTTAGTGTTTGATTGAATTTTAGTATGGTTAACGAAAGAGGTTATTTGTTTTTCTTTTTCAGTGTCACACATAAAAAAACTGTGTATCAACAAATCAACGAAGTAAATAGTCTGCATTTGTAGACTTTGTGTTACTTTAGTCATTATTTGCGATGTTCCATTATTTTGTAAATTTCTACAAATTGGCGTTGAAATTTAAAGCAATTATATGCTAATATAAACATATTTCGGTGTTTAATTTTTATGATGCTATTTCATCATTGATGTACTAATCAATGTTTGGTTTTAAATCATGTGAATATTGCTTTGGGCAAACGGTTACAGATTGTGTGATTCTGTTTATCATATTACCAAATAGGATATATACGTGTTTTCCTATAAACAGTAACACTTTTTTGTATATAATGTAATATAATATTTAAGATCAATTTTACATTTACAATGCTCCGTGCACCCTGAAATGGGACAAATGAACTTTTTAAGCATTATTCATTAAAAATATAACGTACTTTTTTTGTTTCGGAATATGTCGTTTTATAAAAACATTTATGCATTGAAAATTTAGACTTGAAATAAACATAGAGCACCAAATAAGTTGTAAGTGCTTTAGGAATCATTCCCCGAAACTCCTTCATTAAATCCTGAACAAATAAAGATGTGGACAAAAGCTTGTATTTTAAAATACGGCTTTCTTAGTCAAATGCATGCTAATGAGAACCATTATAATCTTTGAATTGTGATTCAAATTGCATTTATTGTATACAATACGGGCACAATACAAATTTCCATTTCAAGAATCCCAAGTTGAGACTCAGAATAATAATTATCACTACACAATACGGTTGAGAAGCGTGCATTATAAACACGGTTGTATACCTGTGAAAATTATTGCAAATCTGGGGATCAGACAACTTTCAAAGTGTTTGAAAATTTCCGTCGTATGTGAGGTAAACAAAAGGGAATTTCAGCAATTAAAAATAGAGTTTTCTTCGTATTCCGTCCATCAATAGACTGATGATGAAATGATTTCATATTAACAATACCATAGGAAAATATTATCTGTCAATAATAAAATTTGCACAACAACGTTACTAGGGGTCAGAAATGGCTCGAATGGCTTAGAGAAAAGGATCGTACGGGCGTGCCCTGTTTACTTTTTTGCTCGATTTGGCGGAGGGCACTTACGTGCCCCAAGATTTATTCAAGTTTTGTGTAGGCCTTGTTTTTTCCAACACAATAAGGTTTTACCAGATTTTTCTGGTTTCTATTTGTTCTCTTTGTTAAATCCTCTTCAGTTAAATGGAGAGACTTGATTAATAGAGTTAAATAAATTTACGACACGCATATTTTCAAGTAATCTTGACAAGCAATAGAATTCAACCTACACAGTAAAACTTGTTTGTTTCAGCTTCAAACCATTGTTAAGTAGTCTGAACTCGTTTAGACGACGCGAAAGTTTTCAATAGTTTGGTTCGGGGTTGCCAGACAGAAAGTACCTTTTAAAATTACAAAAATAAAGTGTGTGTTTTTCTTTTTTCTTACAATAATAATATTGATTATAATTGAAATTATATCAATAATTTTGGACACCCAGTGGTATAAAATAAAAGTTCACCACTGGTAAGGTTGCAGCGTAAATAAAAAAAAAAATGACGTACAGATACCACGATGTCGCATTAGGACAATGTGAATTCTGTTTCCCGGTCAATAACTTTTAATTGTTCTATGTTTTGTCACTACACGTAGTTTGTCCTCGTTCACGAGTACATTTTCATACGGAGTACAAACGGAATAGCTGTGCTTAATGGATTGAATATGTTAGACTTATTTATTAGCTTTCTGCCAGCGGCTTCGCCGCGTGGCTTTATTATTATACATAAAAACCTTCCTTTTGAATCACCCTATCTATGACAAAAATCGCATCAAAATCCGTTGCATAGTTTTAAACATTCATAGGATATAGGGACAAAGAAAGCGACTTTGTTTTATACTATGTAGTGATGGACGTTCTATAAGTTAGTCACATTTGAATATATGTTTAAAAAATGAATAAAATCTTGATTCATCATAATAAGTATTGATCAAATATAATAATTAAAACAAGTTTTGCATCTTTATTTATTTGTAAAAACATTTTAACCCTTCAGCACGCGATCGGCCGAATTCGGCCGGTCACGTGACTATTGCGCCATTCCGTGAAACCCCGCTAGGTCTTCTTATTTTCAGGCAGTTAAAGTCTACTTTAGCGATGACGCATGTGCTTGCATTCGTTTTTTAAATGTGTGGTGTCAGGTTTGAAGGGTTAAAACAAATTTTACATCATAAAAACATTTCTTTCGGCTGTTTGGGTGGATTGTCTAAATATTGGTGAGAACAAGCTCTGTAGTAGCGAAAAACCAACAAGTGCTTGAAAGATTTGTTAGTCCTGTTAGGTCCTAGGTAGCTCAGTGGTTAAAACAATCATCCGGATTGCGAAAGGTCATGGGTTCGTATCCCATCTCAGGGTGCCAAGGACCAAGTGGATCTTTCAAGCATTTTTCATTAAGAATATTTATCATAATAAGTTTTAAAAATAGTAAAGATTGATTATTATTTTGTGATGCTTGTTCGATTTATTGTTGCTGTATTTCTAAAGAGACTAAAAAACTACGTTATATTTTATTCCTATTGGTTACTCTTCGTTGTTGTCTTTAAATGACGCCAAAGAGATTTATCCTATGTCTATTTCTAATTATGAATAATGCTTTATTGTTATCTTTTTTTAATTTTTGAACAGTCGTAATCCATATTATTGAATGAATTAATATCATCGTATATACACATATAAACATATTTGCTTTGTTTACGTTTCAAAGTTGCATTTTTATTTCAATTGACCTCAAATTCAACTATTTAGGTATCTTCATTATATAATTTTGAAATATTCGGTTCAGCATTTTGTTTTTATAATGTACAAGCTGTAGCACGTGGCTTCGCCTACGTGAGCCGCGGGTGCTGTGTGCACACTGACCTGCTATACTCGAGTCTTAAGCTAATCTTAATTCTAAATATGCCAGTGAGCATCCATCTTTATATCATCATCATTAGCTTATCAACGTCCTCACCGCTGGGGCATAAGCCTGCCCAATAAATGGAACGAATTATGAGAAATCTACTTGTCCGGGAATAGTCCAGTTGCTCTTCTTTCCATTTTAATGCGCAATAGAATCGACACGCCTTTCAAAAATCCAAACAAATATTTTCTTTGAAAAAAATAGTCCTTTTATTGAAGTCGTTTAATAATGACGCCGTCATTTAACTTGGATCGTCATTTAGCTTTCATTTAAAGGGTTAAAATAGCCTGATGCTTTGCTTGTGCAATATTCTACGACTGATCCTCATAGCACCTTGACAATTAGCCTGTTCTTGCTTTCTGAATTGGGTATTTCTAGAGATTTTATACCAATGGATGGATTGGATGCGTGACGCCAAATTAAATAGATGACATGGAATATAATTACAATGGTAAATTGAATTGTAAACAGTGGTTGTTATATACACACAAATTTCTACTCCCATTTCCCTTTCCTCCCTTTAAGTGCTTTTTTCGACATAAGATATAAGATAGATATATGCTGTCTAGTGTTGCCAGACGTCCCGTATTGCAGGTATAAATTCAAATGTCCCGCCGGTACTGACTTGGTCCCGTATATCAATTCAATTTCACAAATGGTTTAAAATACTACTAATGTACGAATCAAATATCAAGTCGTCATCCCTATCGTATTGATTTTTTAAATAAGTCACAAGGAATAAAAATATGTTAAAATACGCGCTTTCATCTGCAAAAATATAAATTTTATTTGTCCCGGATAAAAAAATAAATCCCGTATTTTTTTGTCTATTTAATCATATGTCCCTTACAAGTTGAAAAAAAATTTGGCAACCCTAATGCTGTCACGAATTTTCTTTTAGAACTCCTAAAGGGGATCAATTTCGTAATACATTATTTTTACGTACCTGTCACCGTTTACGCAGAAACGTAAGGAAAGCTCTCAAAAAAAAATATTCTTTCGTTTTTGTAACATTTTACATCGCAGCTCCACTTCTATTAGTCATAGCGTGATTTTATAGCCTATAGCCTTCTTCGATAAATGGACCATTCAACACAAAATTCAATTCGTACCAGTAGTCCCTGATATTAGCGAGTTCAAACAAATAAACTCTTCAGCTTTCTTTTTATAATATGTGTCATCTCAGTAACTTGAAGATAATTTTAGTAAAAAAAAAAACAAATCGTAAAATAGCATAGTACTTGTATTTTCTTAAAATATTATGAATTGCCAACACCTAATATCTACATTCTATGCATCGTGGACTATCGTCATCGGTCTTTCTTTACTTCCTTTTTTAATAAAATACAGTAGGACATGACATGACAAATTTTGCGTCCCGACTGCAGGGGCTCAGGCCTTCCTTATGGATGGTTAGAGAGGATGGGCTATGCCCCTTCACGCTGGCCCAATGCGGATTGGAGGGTATTAACGACTGCAAATGCAGCCGGGACCAACGGCTTAACGTGCCTTCCGAAGCATGAAGTAGCTCGAGATAATAATTTTTGGGTCACCCATCCCATGACCGACCCTTGCGAAAGTTGCTTAACAACAACGATCGCGGGCCGCGGCGCTTAGCCTCTACGCCACCAAGCTCCAATGTCTTTACTGATTTATCTGGAAGCACGTGTGGCCACTATTATGTGACCCAGTAAAAATGCGTTTCTACCGTTCTATACGTGGCTACCGTGATAGAAAACGCTGTTTATAGGCGAAGTGTGTATGTGAGTCTCCCTCACCTGGCCATTTAGATTTCGTAAGATTTTTCTATCCGTTTGCGATTTGGTTTCGCTATATTTTTTTCCATTTTTTTTTTATTTTTTAACTAGGCATTTTCCCGTGAATTCGCCTTCGTAAATGTCTATGTCACCCGCGGATGTAGTGTAGTAGCATGGACAACCCTAGTGGGCCTATTCAATGCAAACAAACAAATAATGAAATCTTACCTCTTTATAATTTTATATTATGTAAATAAAACATTGTCTTCTTTACTTTGCTTTTTTGTGACGAAGTCTTTACAAGATATAGAAATATTAAAAAGTTTAAAGAAACAAACTAGCTCTATTATATTAGTGTAGATCACGTATAGAAATTTTAGTGTGTCGATATCAGTGTTTGATAAATTCTACATAAAATCGCTTTGGAAGTCTCCAGCAAACTTTCAGTGGAAGATTCCGTATTTCTATTTTTAGTGCTTTTCGTATTAATAAAACAGATGGTGGAAACTGATGCGTGAAGAGAATTTGAATCGTCATTGTCGCGTCAGATGGGTCAGACTACACGTATTGTACTAGATCGTTCGACTGAATATCGACAAGAAGAAACAGCAATCAAATTTTCTTGTCGATGTCAAATCGATACCGATTTTTTTTTATTAGATAAGGACATTTAAGTGCATAGATGTTAAATATTCCTGAAATATTGTTTAATGGTTTTAAATCTCAGCATTGTGTGAAACTTAAATTTTTACCTTAGTGTTTAATACCTTTAAAGCTTGTTTCCATCAGATAAATTAGGTAGTTTATATTTATGATCGAGATTTATAGAGTTTAGTCAATGCTAAAACTATTTCATCAGTTCACAAATCAATGGTGGGGAATCTTTCACTGATAAGAGCAGACAAGAAATTCTGAAATATATTTTTCCTCCTCATTCTATTGGAAAATTACTTCATATTCAACTATAAAGTTATTTTCCATTATAATAATGAAAATTAACAATCTGTTTGTTACATAGATTTTTAATTCGTTAGTCGATTAACTTGTTGTGTCAGATATACTTATAGTTACCTATACTAACGTACTGTGTCATATATACTCATTGTTACATGTACCAAAATTCTGTATCATATAGAGCAGGTTTTGGTCATTTGGAACTCCAAAGCTTTGTAACTACCGCATAGGCAAATATATTATTATAACATGAACGGTTCTTAAAAAGTTGCATTACCGCATCATTTACAGGGTTAACAGCTATGATATGTGAAAGTTAAGTTCCGAGTAACCCTTAAAATGGCCAAAAATAGGTCTTAAATTTAAAATTACCAAATCCGGGTCCCAAGCGTTATGTTCATTGTTACATATACCAATATGTTGTGTCATATATACTCAACGTTTCAATATACCACTTTGTCGACAGAAAGGCGACGCGACAGGTGGTGGACGCATGGCTGGTGTCGCACGCGACACCGCCCAGTGCCGAGCTACCGTCGCCGTCACGTGCCGGCTCCGGAGCGACCACACCCGTCAGGTAAGTTTTGGAAATACTTAACATCAGCAAGTTTCCCGTTAAACATGCGGGACAACAACTTACCTATAACTAGAACATTTGCAACGACGTCAATTCAATAAAAAAAAAATGTCACATGCGATTCACGATCCGTTTTAAGAAAATGACGTTATCTGACGAGTATGTATAGTTAATGTTTTATGGTAGGTATTATTATTTAGAGATCTGATATCATATTGTCCACGCGCTAGAACCTGTTAAAATATAGAAAATAGGACACAAAATAGCGTTTGGAATGTATATATCAGGTAAAGTACACCCAGCCGTTTCTACAAAACGAGTACGCCTGTCAGATGTCATCCAAACCTGTCAGAAAAGCCGATAATACGTGTAATATCTCTGCGCCCAGCTAAAATAGATCGTCTCGATCTGAAACTTCCGCAATCTTCTGTTGTTCCGGTTCGGTGAGTTGGCTGATACCTAATACTCGGCAAGGCATGGTGATTGAATAGCCAAATCTTTGACTGAAGTCAAAGATTATATATAGTACTTTTTTGTAGCCAGTTTTGAAATTGTTCAAAGTGATGTATGAGAGAACAATGGAAGATATCACGCGCCACTACCAAGGTAGTATTCGGAATATAACCGAAGGGAATTCATCGCCTCTTTAACCGACCTTCGACTTTAACCGGAATCTGCTAAAACTGATATTTTGTTAGTAATCAGTTTATCACGTATACCACATACGAACATTAAATGGTCACATTTTTCCGCTTTCCTGTTGCGTTTTTTAAATTGTAGGGGAAATATACTTCGCCAGTCGATATCTTTCTTGGACTTCGATCAGCTTCATGCGCATTCTGCTACCTTTCTCTCTCTACGTAGCGGTGCTTGTAGACAATAGAAAGGGATACAGGAATTGAAAACATGCTAAAGAATGCGCATAAATGTGATGATAAAAGTGTGAGGCTATTGACTTTACGATCTTTGTAGAATGACGAGTCTCGTTTTACGGCCAGGGACAATCGAGTTAAGTGAACTTAAATAACTGTCACACATATAATTTGTAAAAGAATTCTTATGCGCTATTGGGAATATGAGTTGTTAATGCAGTGATTGGAATTGCTAGAGAGGATCTTAGTAAGCGATTTTTCGGTACCGCATAAATTGTCTAGTATACATAAATTTGTTACAACAGTACATAAAATAAATCATTCCATAGTAATAACTAATAATATATTGAGCATCTTGCTTAATTCCACTTAACGTTGCGAAATATATTTTAGTTTAGTAAATCTAATGTTAGTTTGCAATAGTAAATTAATTATCTTTAACAACTGCCAAGATGCTGAAATAAAATTAGAATTTTGATTTGCCGTAGTCACATCACAACAGTAAATCTTAATGTTGTCTAAAAATAAATAGCAATAGTAAAATCAGAAGAAACAAATTTAGTGTCGCTTATTATTCCCATGTTAGTTTATGTGAACTGGCAACGAGGGATTATCCTGAAACTTCTAGTCCATAATTCAGGTTGCTTAGACTAGTGTAAAACGTTGGAATATTCGAAGCATATTCGCTTAAACTTCTGGTGAAACTATCTGGCTTTCGTCATGTAAGTTATCTCTACAATTATATTGGCTTGGAGTGGTTTAAATTTAAGGATGAATTTTAGGCCAAATAATTACAAAAAGGAGTCAAGTGAAATTTAAGATAATAAGCTGGAAATCGTATACAAGTTCTATTTAGCGTTCTAAACGTCATATCAAATTATCAACTTTGGAACAATAAAAAGCCGACATATCTAGAAAAGTTGTTTTGTGACATTTGATCTGCATTCACTTGCACTTTTATGATAGCTTTTGAAACAATTTATTTTAAGACTTAAGATGTGCGAGTTTCCTGCTTATTAAAAATAGAAACAATTTACTGGCCTAGTATGCTTGCAATCTCACATGAATAATTTCCAATTGCATAATATCAACGAACTATAAGTCAACCTCTTCAATATTATGTACATGTCATAGACAAACGATTTTATGACAAATGTTATAGTAAAAACTTTTCTTTGATACTTCTCCTTATCGTTCAATGGGAAAATCTCGAAGTCCTTCGGAATTCTGCTAAATTTTCTCGTGTGCTAGGTTGGTAAAAAGTTAGAATTATATACAGCTATTATGAAACATAATTCGAGAAATTTAACTGCCTCAGTTACTCAAGTTAAATTAATCGAGGGAAACACAAGGAATACTTTTAACTGTTAACTGCCAGACAACAAGACTCTCAGTTTCTTGTATTCAATATTTTTTTTAAAGAAATATTGCCTCTTCGTTATTCAATATAACATTTCTAGCAATACACTTGTTTTAATCGGCGTATCCAGCAAAATCAATCAAGTCTTTGTTCCTTTTCATATTAAATACCACTAACCTTGTGATCAATAGAATAATGGGACAAAAGCATATCAATGCGTAATTGCTTTTTGTTTGAATGATTTTTTACGTAATATCAATTAAATAGTTTTGTTAGACAACAGTCTGCTAACTTAAGTTGTTTTATAGCATTTAGATTACTTTTGCATGAAAACTTAGTATAAAATTAAAAGTCGTAAATGATACAAATTATATTGTGGTAATTGAATATCTTAATACGAAGTAATTTTCATAAAGATTCTCTGTTATGGTAAAGTTTGGATAAGCAAAAACTTCTCAAAAACTATTGAGCGCAAAAATGTTTAGATGATCGATTATTTTGTGTGGAAATATATTGAAAGTCGGTAGTTCAGTGAATAGTTTTCTGTCGACGTTGTTATGTGTGCTGAGTAAATAAATTTTGGCATACATTATTCAAACGTTCGGCTTATCCCGCGGAAACCAGCCGACGCATCCTTCCTTCATCAATCTTCTGACATCAACACTACTTCAGGTGAGATGGTACATCACGGAATAGATTACGCATAGTTGAAAGCCTGTCTTCTCCAAGTTTCAGCTGAAATAAGTTGAACACAGTTTTTTTATCTTGACGTTTGTCGTTGTTGCTAACATGGTATTTTCAAATTTTGTTCTTTTTCCTTTTAAAACGTTTTGTACGTTGAAACTATGGTTTTTAGATATATACCTTAAGGCTTCGTATCCAGTGTGTATAACAGAAACCCTGTTGTCTGTCACCAGGCTGTATGTATATCATTAACCGTGATAGCTAGACACTTGAAATTTTCACATATGATGTCTATTGTCGCTTTAAAAACGGAAAACCAGAATAAAATAAATATTTAATTGGGTTCCCATACAACAGATATGATTCTTTTTTGCTGTCTCCGGGACCGTCATCATTATCATCTCATGAACCGTGATAGACAGTTGAGATTTTCACAGATGATGTATTTTTGTTAATATAATAACTAAAAAAAACGAATAAAATTAATATTTCCAACAAACATGATTTTTTATGTTTGTTCTGAGAACGAAGCACTACGCACGCGGCATGACATTTAAAACAAGTCTTTGGAAGCTATAGAAGGATCTAGAGATTAATTTTCGCTCACACATCTTATGATAAGCCTTTCCCTATGTTTTTTTTTTTCTTAATAGGAATTTACAATTTCAAATATTTTTAAACTACATTTCTCTTAATTTTAAGTTTAAGTTTAACAATGAAGTTCTTGGAAACTATTTATAGAAGAATACATTTTTTTGTTTTCTTTTACCTGTATAATTGTATTCTGTTTTAATTTTAAAATAATAAATAGCACAATAATATTTCTAGTTATATGATAATATGTCGATTTTCAATACCAATGGAATATATGTGTATAACGTAGAAGGTTCAAGATTCTCTTGAAAACTAAAAATAGCATATAAGAGCATCCCAGACCAAACACAAAACTACCCGAAGATAAAAAGGCGACCCAGTGACCCTTTTTAATGCTTGTCCGACACCTTTTTGACAGAGTTCCCAAACTTAACGACATTAAAAAGTATTGAGTTACTAGGAGCATTGGGAAAACGAAGAAGTGGAATTTGGATCGTGTAAAAATCGACACGATAGATAGTAAAACTTAAGACTCTTGCCCTCCGTTATCTTAAAAACTTGCAACGTTCCTAAAAAGTTTTCTCACGGGTCATATATATTATCTCGATGAGTATAAATATATATATGAAAATTCAGTTTGTTAAGTTTTATGGCTATTCTTGGATATTTCTCAAAAAAAAAATCGCAACTTTTTGGTTCAATTATGAATTACTTCAAGAGCATGAAGTAACCATAAACTATATTAAGATCCCTCCAATAATTTTTAATCAAAATCGGATATATATTTGTTCTGTATAAAATAACTGGAACTATGTCGTCTTAATTTGGTCGTAAAGGTTTTTTTTTGATAAAAAAATCAAAATATATTTTTTTTTTGATAAACCAATGATGTTTTACTTGCATATCAATGAACTTTCCTAATATCGTTGACAGGAAGATCTCAGCCCACGAGTTCGAGCGGGGCGGACTCTTAAAACCGTTGGTGACGACTGTAGACGGCACACCGACCTTTCTTGGAGATCAGCCCCCCCACGCGACACCATCGCGTCCACAGCGGAGGTCCAGGCACGAGCTGCGGCAGTTAGACGAAAAGGAACTTATATTTGAATTAGTGAGTAATTTTCTGACTCTTTCCGATGAATCTTTATAGTTTGGTATTACCTTATGATTCGACATGAGGCTATTTAATGTGTATCCAATATGAGCACTAAATTCAATTTGAAATCCAATTCGAATAAATTCATGTCAATAAAATCCTACTCATTGAGGTTGTAGCGTTTCCTAAGAAATAACCGATAATATAGAAATAAAAAAGTAATATAATTCCTTCCTAGAAGTAAAATTCACAATATGATAGAAAATGTCGGAAATCGAAAATAGACTAGGTACTTATAATTATCTATTAAAATATGAACACGTTGTTGAATCACATGATAATGAAGGTGGAATAATTATTGCTATGGAGCTTATTCGAGAGATCTCACATTACAAAGTTTATTTCAGAGCAGCAGTCTTGTTCAAAACATTTGAATTCACGTCTAGGTTTATAGTAGCTCAAGCAATAAAAAGTGTTAAGAAGCACATAAAATTAATGCTAGGAAACTTTGTACTTCTCTAAGTGTGTACTGTATTATTACAATGTTGCAGTTGTTAAGATACTTAAATTTAATTTCCCTATTATCCCTTTTTTGAGTAGAGTAGAGGTTTATATAACACAACACAAGTTGGTACATTAGACAATTGTTTGGAGAATTTTGGCTAAAATTTATATAACATCTACTCCAAAAAAATATGAAAACTGAGTATATTACTAGGCGTTCTAAGCTTAGTAGGATACAACTTCGTCTCGTTTGTGCATGTCTACGTACGGACAATCTATGTTTTCTCTTTCATTACAAAATAAACACAATGTGTTCCAAAAATCTTCGATTGTAAATTAATTGATCTAATTTGGTAAATTAATAATACTTTAAAATTCAAAAGCTTTAAATTTTGGATAATTTACGATTTTTGATTAGTTATCTATTCAAAATAGTTATGTAAAGTTACCATATAATTTTCTATACAAATAATGTAATGGATATATTGTATTTTTTTTTCAAACTCAATATTGGTGTATATAGAGCCGCGCATTTTTTTTTAAATTGTTAATATTAGATAAATTTTTTTATGATTGACGGGCAAAGCACACAGTACATTTTGTACAGTACAATAAATTATGTATCTCTGAAAACGTCTCTATGCTTATGCTAGATAAGTAGAATTTATGAAAAGTTTGATGTGTTTCTCTGTTTGTGCCATTCATTTATAAGTTTTTGCACCCGTATATTATTTACCAACAAAATAATGGATTTATGTTTATTTCTAAAAATACAACAGGAATCTAATCAATTATGTCTGTGTAATCCTGATAGGTTTTATCTTTTTTTTTAATATAGCTCAGAGGTTGACAATTTGTATTATTTGAGTCAACGTTAAAAACGGCACCTGAAACGTATTCTAAAACGTTATCCTCCTCTTCATTTAAGTGGCTAGCTCATTGTATAGGGCTTAGCCCACTTCACTTTTTTTGTCTCCATATACCAAGTACTTCAGTTGATATTATTTTCAAGTATTTTTAAGATTAATTTGCTCGTTATTAACATAAAGTGTATATAACAATATGCAATAACTTTAATGTAACTTGCAATGTATTTAGTTCGTCAAATCGCAATATTCGTCAAAAGTTCAAAGCCTGGCGTATTAATATGTACATTTACAAAGGTTTATCTTTATTTTTTTATTCTAAAAATAGAGAGTTAAGTCTATTTGTGTAATCCTATTTAATATTTTATAAAGAGGAAAGATTTGATTGTTCATTTGTTTTCATTAATTAGTTTCCGAAGCTATTTCTTGTGTTACGAGGGCAAACAGCCAGTGTAAAATAAGAAGCGTTGTGATAAATACTAAATGTTTGTGACTGCTCGGTTACTTCTTAATTAAAACTGTATTATATTGTCGTTTGTTCTCTGGCTCAATGAAACTTGTGAAGTTCCAATTATTCTTAATTATATTCGACCTATATTTGAGAATTGAGCGACTTTTAATGAAACAGTGTTTGTAGGATGAATCTATGAATGTCTGTGACTTTGATAAATAATAATGAACTCAATCCATCGATGAATATTATTAATGTTACATTAACAATGAAAATAGTTATTTTAGCTGTCCCCGAAATAGACATGAGAAGACACAAACATAATATACTATTGACATCAACACTGAATAAAATGAAATGAAATTAAAATGTTTTTATTCAAGTAAGCTTGTTAAAAGCACTTTTGAATCGTCCAAAAATATTTTTTTCCCTACCACTTGTTCAGGACGTCTTTTAGCTGACAAGAAGAACAAGCGAAAGAAACTTAACAGCTTTTTATCATAAGTAATGACATTTACATAAATCATGTCATTACCAAAATAATACATATATTGAACAATAATAAATACAAGTTTCAAAGTCTGTAGGACATAGGTTGGTACATACCTATAATAAAAATAAAGTTCAAAAACTAAAACCCGACTACAGCTAAATCACGCTCATAGTCGTATGCCACAACAGTTTTTGTAATGATGAGTGACTCGACTACGCTGTCCTTTGGTCATCGCTATTATAATATAGCTATCGCTATCAAATTTTAAGAGCATGATTTAGTTTTTGAACTTATTTTTATTTATTTAATTTTCGGGTAATAAATAAGCAAAATTTTTCAATATAAATATATATTTGAAATGTGCTAATTAAGCTCTTTCATTTTTTTAGTTTCTTACTTTATGCTCTCTAGAGGGCGCTGTTGCTAATTTGATGTAACGCCACATAGCCTACGGACAACTAAGACGCTTCTTATACCTCATTTGTTCAGTTACGATAAGTAGTTTCGGAGTTATGAAGGAATATATAACGGCCAAAATCCTAACTCTCTTTTTCGTTTCGCCGTAGTCGGGTAAAAATAAAAACTATCTACATTAAATCCTCACTCGTGTATTGGTAGGTATATAAAACTTGTATACGATAAGATGTTGCGGTTTTAATAATTTAGTGTAATGCACGGTTTGTAAAATACTGTATACCTAAATTAGGCCCCAGTCAGGTCGGTTTATCAGAGGTCAACGATAACAGACGCCTGTCTGGTGATAACTACATGTAAACAGACCATTGCCGTTCACAGGAAAGAGTAAAAGGATCGGTAATAAATAATAAACACTCCTTTATCATTGAGAAGTACATTTACGTTTGGCCTAAAACAGAATGGAAAATACCCTGGATCTAGCACAAAGATGTATTTGAACCGGATTATTCTGTTATCCCAAATACCTATTGAAAGATTTTTCTAAACAAATATTGAAATTTAACACGGTAAAAAAGTTATAACACAAAATACACGGCAGTGTGAAAGTGAGAAAATTAATTTCAAAATAAGTTATTTCTTTCAAACGATCGTCATTTTAATTTATTTATACGTATAATAACTGAAGAATAATAAGTTTTAGTTTACCAACGTTATTTAGTATCGTTTAATAGTTACATGGTTTTTTTTTATAAATCTTTTCACTACGGCCGATTGAGTTGCTCTTTCAATCACTCAATCAGGTGCTCTCATCACTAGTCCTTTTTCGTTGTATTGTCAGTGATATCGTCATCGTTTATAAAACAACATTATTTTGAAAGCTAATATTATTGTGATCGTATTAAATGATATATTTTTGAGTGATTCTCAATGATGTAGCGCGATTGCTAAAAATACAAACAAACGGAAGGAATATCGTGTCACAAACATCCTGATAACCCCAATAACTTGCATTTACATCCTGCGCATGCGTCATCTCATTTACAATTCTTCAATTCACTCTCTGTAAGACAGTATCGTTTAGTGTTGTACATAAAAGTGTTAATTTTAATAGTTTAGATATCGTCAATTCGTTAGATAGGTAACAGTAGTTTTCAAGGTTACCACTAGTTGTTGTTGTTATAGAAATGTAATGATATTATCAGTACTTTACTGTTCTGTGTCATTTTCAATAATTTGAGAGCTAGAATGTCTTCATCATCGGCCGTAAGACATCTTCCATGGATCCCCATGATTCTTCTTCCCACGACCTTTATAAGATCATCGGCTCACCCGGTGGGGGGCCTACCCATTGACCGTGGTTTCGTACATGGTCGACGTCCCAGAAACTTTTTGCCTCAGCATCCATCGATTCTTCTAGCTATTTGTCCCATCCACTGCTACTTTAGCTGAGCAATCTATTTTTTCTAAAATCTATTGTCGGTTACTAAAAGAACTGCTTGCTAATGAAACACTTACCTAACAGAAGATGCGTCGCTTATCATCCCTCTCAGAACGTCAGAATTGACATTCGACCTTATGATTCGAACACACGACGGATGATCCGTAAGGTATTAATTAACACATAATTCCGTGGGATGCTTGACACGTTTTTTGTCATTTTTTGACGTTAGGAAATGCAATACTCTATACTCGACTTCCCCTGTGGATCCCCATAAGGAGGGTTTGTTTGTTGTGATGTCCGTCTTCATGAAGTGGGTGCACGGGGACAGCCCGAAGACCACTTCCCGCGCCGTTATATGGGCTGATCCTTGATCATCATACATAGTAAGATAAACTTTTTGTTTAATATTGTTACAACTAAATTTACAACGCTTGCAAATTTTCATTCAGTTTTAGAGGTACAGAATTTGTTCTTGTGTCTCTGACAGTACATTTTACATAACACATACATTAATTAGGATTTGAATGATACTTTGCTATAGTAGACCGGATATCCATTGTATTTATGATTAAAACAATGAATCTACATCAGTTTGTTTGCTTTTTTAATTTTATATAGGAATAAAAGAACAGGATCCGCTTTAGATAAAATTTAGATATTAACTTTATTGTAGCCACATATTATTTTTAAGCCGTAGCTATGTCAAAGAAAATAAAGAGAAATATCCCTGCATTGAGTTCGATCGACTTTTTATTAAAAACGAGCGATAAAAAGTTCATATTTGTGAAACCACACTCTACGGTATTACGCAACCGCAGAATTTGATATCGTGTTCACCTTTAT